CGTGGCCACCCGGCCCCTCTGGATGGCGAACACGAATGGCACCTCGTCCTGTTCACCCATCTCCAACACCTTTAGGTCCTGATCCTCCGCTCCTCCGGCGGGCCGAACATCACCCGGAAATGATCCCAGCGATGTCGGTGGCTTAGCCGAGGGATCATCCGGCAGGCATTGCAGGCCGGCGACTGGCTTAGGCCGTCCTCGGTGCGGTCCGGCCCACAGGCGGTGCCAATTAGGCCAGGACATGTCGGACAGGTCCGGTGTTCGAGGGGTGGTGAGTCCATGCTTTTCTTCTTTTTCCTTTCTCGTTTACTGCTCAGGTTGTTTAATCCTGCTCGCTGAAGAGAAAAGGATGACAGTCAGGATGACAGTCAGGATGACCGTATGAGGATATGGTGAGATGCGAGCGCATTCAGGTAGGCCCGCCCCAGGGCCGGCTACGTTTATAGAAGTCTCATGCCCCTTTCACACCAACGCGGTTCCAGGGCTGGTTCAGAGCTGGAGCTTGAAAAGCACCGTTTTTTCCTGTTCACACCGCAGCGGAGCCACCTCTAAGCTCCGGAATCCGGTTCATTTCAAGCACCAAAAAGTTGTCGGTCTAGAAAGCAAGCACCGCATACGTCACACTTACGTCGGAGGCGGGGGCAGGGGCATCAGTTTTAATGTTATACCATAGTAATTAATGCTGCAAAGCTGGGTATTTTGAGCTTGGCGCATGCAGAGGCTAACAACAGCTAGCTCTAACGCCATCGAATAGGAGGTATATATTTACCTTCTTTCTCCTACGGAATCGTTATTGAAGTTGATGATGATGATTGTAAAGAACTTTTGAATGTAGCATGTAACAACTGCAAAGTCGTCCCATTTCTTCCATTTCGTTTCAACAGAGCAAAACCAAAACGAGTAGCGCTTCAATACAATCGGTCATTGTTGTTGTTGTCAATGTGAGGGGTTTCCGCATGGTTTGGCTTTATGAAGCAGGCACACACACGGTTACGTCATGACGCAAACGATGACGCAATGACGCAGCACCAGTCGGGCTCTGAGCGGTGTGAACAGAGCGGGAGCTGAACCGAAGAACCGGTTCCGAACCAGAAAAGCTCTAGCACGAAGCTAGAACGGGAAAGCCTTGGTGTGAAAGGGGCATCAGTGGATGAATGCTTGCATGATATGATCAAGGGGTAGTACCCATAGAGTCCAGTAGAGGGCGGAGCCTGTGAGAGATATAACAATGTGTTTGCATTGTGTGCATTAGTGATGGGAATTCCGGCTCTTCTTGGTGAGCCGGATCATTTGGCTCGGCTCACCAAGAAGAGCCGGCTCTTTCGGCTCCCAAACGGCTCTTCAGTTTACCACATATTATACCTTTTAATTAAATCAAATGTAGCCCTGTTTTGACTAATTAATGATGTATATGTGTACACATATATCACTTAAATTATTCAATACATCCTTTGTACTGAAGTATTCAAAAGTGAAAATGACATGTTTAATATAAATGATTTGCTGTGGCCAAATGTTTTCAATGCATTTACAGACCCTTGTAACTCTCTGATACCACCCAATGAATGCACTGACTTGCTTGTCAGCTACACAAAAACACAAAACAGATAGCAACACCTATAAAAACTAGGCTATTTTAAAAAAGGGGCTACTGTATCGACATTTTAAAATTATATTTAAATAAAAGGTCCTGACAAAACAGCAGGGCTCTATTTCAGTAACTATTAGCTATAGAAACCACCCCCCCTGCATGAGAGGGGAGCGTGCTTGAGATCAGCTGATGGGCTCTCAGAAGAGGGGGAGAAAAAGAGATCTTCGTCCTCCGTGTTTTATTCTTATAGAAGTAAGAAGAGAAGTAATGGGGCAGAAACCCTCCTTTTTACGCAGCGGTCCAGACATAGACATCAAACAGCGACACATATTCAGTGTGCAGTTACTTTGGCATTAGGGCAGGGATATCTAGATACCTTCCAAGGTTTGACATAATGAATTGTGCTACTTTTAAAGCAAGCAACGATGTTTTCAAATCTGTAATCAAAAAGCTCCTCAAAAACACTATCGAAGCAGTTCCTGCCGTTGCTACGTTAGTTCAAACGTTCAAACAGTAACAACGGACTATTTTCTTAGCAGATGCATGTCAATTTAAATAAATACAACTATTTTTTAATCAATAAAATCATTTTCTAAATCGATAAAAGCATTTCAATTAATATTGGGAGTCATGTCGTTACTTTGTTGAGAATGTGGCCATGTAATAAGCGGGATAATGTGCACATTGCATAATGTGCCTTCATGCCGATCTAGATCCCTCCGCAAAAAAAAAAACCGTCTCGTTCGCGGGCGCGAGCCGGCTCCCGTCGTTCACTTAAAAGAGCCGGCTCTTTGAGCCGGCTCGTTCGCGACCGACACATCACTAGTGTGCATTTATGGCGCGTTTCCACTGCAGGCCTCGCTCGGTTTGGTTAGGCCTTATTAGGCCCGGCTCACTTTAATGCTGCGCTTCCATTACAGTTTAGGAACTGGGGCAGTTACTATAGTAACGCAGTGTAGGCGGAGCCGTGACGTCATCTTCAATGAGAGCCCCAGAAAAACAACACAGCTGTTAGCTCTTAGCACTCAGAGCTCACAGCTCCTCATATCTGTTCAGAAACTAGACAAAAGTTAAACAAGTACAAACCACAGACTGCCTGTGTTATGGCGAATACAGTCGCTGGTTTATTTATGTATGTATAGGCCGTTGTTGTGAGTGTGGACGGTCGGAGCATATATAACGTTAGCTTAGCCAAGCTACATTTAGAAAACACGCATTTTAAAAGGGTTTTTCGCCTGCCGTCTGTCTGCAGACTTGTCAAAGCATTAATTCATGGTTTTTACTAACCGGTATCAGTATGTTGTTACTTCGGCATCATTTTGAAACGTGTATTACAATTAAATCACGGTCAAATATGTTCATCTTGTTGTAGTTGTAGCCCCCTTGCCAGCGATTCTCTCTCTAGTTTAGCATACTCAGCCCGACTCAGCCTGGTTGTTCCTGGCCCTAGCACCACGATTTAGTCGGGCCAGAAAAAAGGTGAAAAAGTAGCCAAACGCGACCAAAAACGGGCCCCGCACGGCTCGGCACGCTTAAAGCGAGCTACCCGCTGCAGTGGAAACGCGCCATTAGTGTCCTTGCTCTGCATTCAGGCTCTAGCAAACTGTCTCAAATACCTTCTCAGTCCATTCCACGGCGAGACCATTGACCTGGTTGCTGGGATAGATGCAATGGGATTCATTATTGGTAGGAAAACACTCCAATTCATTTTAAGAAGGATATAAGGCTAGATTAAAGGCAATCACACGTGTTACCTCATCTCTGATTTCCGATACTAACATGTAGATGCTTTGACTTGAAATGGCACAAGGCATGACAATATGTGAAAGCAGTCTTCCTCCAATTCACACCGAGGGTTAGCAACATGGTGATATCACTGAGATATAATTCTATCAGTGTGGATAAATGTTTTTGTTTTTTTCAGGTGCTTCTGTTGCCACCGCCCTTGGAAAAGGTTTTCTGGCTTTCCGCAAAGCCGGACACCTGTGTGGCAAACCAAAACCAGACATACACTGACTACACAGGCAAAGAAAGACTTTGGAAGTAAGATTAGATGTGCTAAAACCAGGTTAATCTTCCTCTGCTTTTTACCCTTTAATCATATCAGTTATTTCTCTTGAGGAGATGAATATTTTCCCAGCTGCCATGTTTGGAAATCCTCGGGGTTGTGAGAGCTTCAGCAACAACAAAAAAAGCCACATAACTGTTTGTGAGTGTTGACAAGGATATGTATCAGTTTATGCTATTTGTAAATAATCGTTTTTATAATTGGATCATTTCCATTTAAAATACAATATACTGGTTAAATAATTCCTTAGATCGCAAATGGCCCAAAAACTATGTCCTGAAATACTTTTGTAGGTGATATGAGTGTAAGAGCAGCTTCAATGCACCACTGTATTTGTGAAATAAGTTACAGAATTCGAACCAAAAAATGTGAAGATTAGTTTTACCAGATTATAACATTGTGTAAAAAACAAAACAGATAAGATAAGCAGTTCATTTGAACATATGACAAGTATGAAATCCTTACATCTGCCACAACCAAATAAAAAAAAACTGGCATTATTGCTTTAAAATTACTCAAATGCATCCTTGTGAAAATAGTTATCGATTATGTTGACCGATTTATCGATTCATGGAGTAATGTTCTTAAACAAACATGACACCAGACCAGACATGACCCAGATGATATTGTCCTTTTATTCCCTGAGACACGGCACCCTCTAGTGTTAATGTCAGGAGTTTCATCTTGGACATCACAAATAAATAAAGTTAATGCCAATTTAGAGTAAGCCTTGTATATGTATCTATAATGAATACACAAAATATCCCTTTAGGTCTGACCAAAAATATTAGATATTTCCAAACAACTTTTTTTGTAATTGTTTTGGAAAACTATTATTTTTAATGTATTTATGTATTACTATAATTTGTTATTACAGTTAAAGAAAAGCCTTTGGTTGGACGATTAGAGAGCGATGTTAATGTTTGCTTTAATTTAAACATGTGCATATTTACCATAGATCATCTATACTGCACTGATGAATTCACCACATCAGTGCTTTTTACAATGCTGTTGTTTGCTTTGTATTTTGCGCCTGATACAGTATACCAAACGTTTATCCATGTCTTATAAAATAGAATCGGTTTGTCAGTAAAAAATAAATTGGAAAAAAATAAACAGATCATTTTACATATGCAGTTGAAGTATCTAGATTCCTTCAACAGTTTTAACTTAACAATACATTTGCATTTCTTACAACTTCAGTAAAAAAAAAGAGATATATGCATATTCTCCTTTGCTGATATTGCTCACAAAATAAGTACCAGCATAAACATGTTGTAAATGTTTTAACACAAGCTATACTAAATAACTGTGCTAGAAAAAAAATACAACATAATATAATTATTTTTCAAACATATATATTTATTACATGTTAAACATACCATGAATACAATATTTGTACCCACTGTTTCAGTTGTTGATAATATCATTCAAATGCAATCATTGATTTGATTTTAAACAAGCAGAAGTACCTATGAAGCAAATACTGTAGATTAAAAAATATCATGTTATTTTCCTGTGATCTATTCTTACGTCCTACAGTAAGGTTGGGAAAATCTATGACATTATGAAAACACTTGAAGTACCACATTAAAAAAGGCCATTTAACATACGTTAAGGTAAATCAGAGTATTATTGTGAAGAAAAATCTATGAAACTATTAAACAAACTACAGCAGCTCAAAATAATTTCTAAGCATCCACACTCTCCCATGTTTAAAAAAAAACATCCAGTCTCTCTTTGGCATTTCTGCAGTACCAGTCAGTTTTGTGTAATTGCTGTGTAACTTTAACGTTCACGAGCAACACCACAAGAATCTACATCCCACAGAGGAAAACTATTTCTAGGCCAGGAAAAACTGAACCCACTGATGTCAGGAAGTAGAAATTCCAGCGTCCTCCTCCTGCTTTCACCACAGAAATCCCTCCAGCCTTTTTTCTTATTTTCAGTCTTTACCCCCCTTCAAACATCCTTACTGACAGCAGTTTGGCTGTTTCTTCTTTGTTGAAGCATTCACATTGCTTGGCGTGCTGTTTATCCCTGAAAAAAATGGACAGCTGGGTGTTAAAACTACGAGACAAATGTGATGGTGTTTATGATCATAGAGAGATGGGTTTTGATACTCACTGACTATGCCCCCAATTTGCCTCGGCCCACTCTTTTCCAACTCGGCCAGAACATTGGTCTCGAATGCCAACGATGCAACTCGAAAGAAAAACTCTTTGACGTTTTCCCCTACAGCACCGAGGGGATTTATATCAGTGATGGACTTGGCTAGTTAAACAAACGGCATGCTCTTCAATGAAACTGCTCCTAACTACATGTGTCTTATAACAACGTATTGCTTCTTCTCACAAATACAAAACAAAGCCCTGTTACAAATCACCACTGTTGTTCTTGTAAATGGAAAAACGTGTAAAAGGCATGTTTTTTACCTCCAAATGAGGTAATACAAAATAAATATGCAGTATGGCAGAAGAAAGAAAGACCCTCTGCTGCTTTACACCCCAAAATCAGACTACCCACCAATTTCTGACCCCACACTGATCAGGTTAATATATTTAAATATAAATTGCTCACCTGTCAGCGAGGACACAGCCCAATACTCTGCTGTGATCTCTTGTGCTAATTTGAGGGCGTCTTGTTCAATCTGAGAATACTGAGCAGGAGACTGTATGAGAAACCAGAGCAGACAGTTGGACATAATCTCAAACAAAAAAGTTGCTTTATGTATTAGTCCTTAAATCCATAAAATGTGAAATCAAGTTAAATATGGCCAGAGCTCTCGGCTTCAAATTGCTTGTTTTTGCAGACTGACAGTCAAAACCCAAATTTATAAAGTTTTCGTTCTATATTTTAAGTACTGTATGTTATTCTACTGCAAGGAAGTGACTCAAGTACAAGAGAAACACCCCATGAATAAAAGGTAAATTACTGATGTGTTCATCTAATTTGTTATCAAGTACATAATAGACAAAAACACTAAATCTCAGTGTGCTAATACCTTCCATGTAAAAGTTGCAGTAAAGTCAAAAGAGAGACACATTTCAAGTAGTTCAACACAAATGACAAACTTCTTGAAATGTGAGTCTGCATTTAACTTCCCACCACTGCTTAAATACAGTTAGTAATGTCTAAGAAATGTCTGCAGCCTCTCTCTGAAACCTCTAGTGAAGTGAAGGTCGGGGGAAGCTACATTCCTGAGGTAAGTGTCGGACGCAAATACTTTGTGCTGCTGGCAACAATCCAAAGTATTTACATTCGTTTTCAAAAAAACACATTCACAGGCATGTCCAATTTAAAAGAAAACATACGCTCAGGTCTTTCTTTGTGCCCACGATGAACAGCTGGACGGCGGTGGGGTCGTTCTCTTTCAGGGCGTCTTCCAGCCACTGCCTGCACACAGAACAGGACAGGTTAAAGTCTTCGTGCTGGGACGGAAAACTGTGCCAACTAACGGCTCATAATGAATGAGCTTACCTCACATGGTCCAAAGAGGCGATGTCAGTTACATCAAACGCAATAATCACAACTGGAAGGAAAGAAAATATTACATCAATAAAATGTTTAGGAGCCACAAATTCCAGTAATGTATTTACAGCTTCCTTTTGTCCCCTGAGAGAAGAAATTCTTGAGTACATTTCTTACTAGTCCCTTAAGAAACACACAAAGCCCTTACTCTGGGCTCCTCTGTAGTACGTAGAAGCAATACACTTGAACCTCTCTTGGCCTGCAGTGTCCCAGCTGGAAGAGAGACAGACATTCAGGCAATGTCCCATCACACAGACTCAGTTGTTTGTTTTGTTTGAAATAATGTAGACATTAGACTTACAGCTGAAGGCTGAAAGGAACACCCAGCACCTCAAAGCGCTCCATCTCAAAGTCCACACCGATCGTTGCCTTGTAGTTTTTATCAAAAGCATCCTTGCAAAATCTGTAATGACAAAATGTTTTAATTTCTAATCTTAATGGAGATATTTTTTTCAGATCAAAATATCTCTGCAGATTTCATTTAGAAAATAGCAATACCAATAGTTTTAAATTCATAATTGAACTTAAATAAGATAATTCAAGTTTTAATTACTAAGCCTTTTAGAGTTATATTAATAAAAAACATCACATTATTAGAACATTTGTATGGATGCTTAAACATGTCAGCAGAATTTAAATGTTACCGCTTTTTGAGTAGTTTAATCTTTATCACGTTTTATTTATGAAGAAAGTTGTATATCCAGCTCGGATAAATGTAGTGCAGTAAAGATGAGTTGTAGTTGAGTCCATGTATAAAGTGGCACAGTTGGAATTCTTAACTAAAGCTAAATGACATGGTACAGTCCTTATGTAAACCTACTCGGTAACTTTCGACCAATTACAGTGTTCATTTATTTTAGATTTCAATCCTGTTTAATAATTAATAATATTCACAGGAGGTACTGGTCCTCCGAGATATTTTATTGTGTGAGCTATTTATTCCCAGAACTGCTGCATTGACTGTGTTGAGCTTACCTATTAATCAGACAGGTTTTCCCCACAGCCAGGTCACCCACAACAATCACCTTGGAGATTTTAAATCTGCTGAGAAGAATAGGAGATGCAACAAGTAAATAAATGCCACAAAAACACCTCATCCAGCGTCACATGGCTGCTGGTTCCTGTTCTCACCCCACAGTGCCGGTGCGTTGCTCCTGACACGCCGTCTTCACTTTGTTGTTGAAATCCTCCTTTGTGTGGAAAGCAGCCTCTTTCCTGAAACACTACAAGAGACAAAGAAGCATAAGCGAGGCAGTTTCAGATTGATGGTGGAAAACTAAAGGCTCTAATGACATTAAATGATTTTACCTGAGGGAGCTGAGCAATGACACGGTCCTTTCGAACAGGAGGAAGAACACTCATGGCTGAAATTCGGACGGACATGAAGCTTCGAGGTAATTATTTATCAGAGGGACATGTGGTGAGCTAGACAGAGGGAAAAATACATGTTTGTAAAGTTGTTTCTCCATCATATGAAGGCTGCTGAGAAGTATTTGTAGGCCCAATCATCAGGCCTGCTGTCACCAATGTATATGTGAAACCCCCAAAATGTACTTTTTCTATTATTATATTTTCTGGTTTTCTAAGTCTGTTCATCAATCCAAATAAAATAAAAAGTGTGTAATCTATAATGGACATAATCATCAGCTGAATTGCTATTTTCAACTGTGCTCTTTTTAAAATGTTGTTTCTGTTGAGTTTGTATGTTGTGTTGCAGCAAATTGTGTGTTACAATAAATCAGTTCTGAACTTAACTGTATGTATAGTAAATATAGTTTGGCATATAACAATCTTATATTAAAAAAGTCCGGTTATAACATCAATAAAATACTTTGAATTACTCCATTTAAACATTGAATTAACTCCAGTTCCATCCCTCTGCCATCTTTACATGTGTTTATTTACTCAGGCAACCATAACAGACTATACCCCCAACACACAAATCTCTCTCTCCCCCACTGAAAACAGCTTACTGGAAATAAAGACAGAACCAGGCAGAGACCCAAGTCAAACAATAAACTGTAGTGAGAGAAAATATTTCTAACACACATTGTGGAATAAAATGAGCAGATGCAGAGCCAGACCAGACAGTTGTAATCACTGCTGATCCACTTACTGTCGAGATCTGCTTTAATCCTCTGCTTCATCAAGCTCCTGCGAAGAAGAAAGAAGAAGAAGAAGAAGAAGAAGAAGAAGAAGAAGAAGAAGAAGAAGAAGAAGAAGAAGAAGAAGAAGAAGAAGAAGAAGAAGAAGAAGAAGAAGAAGAAGAAGAAGAAGGATAATTTGGCTACCACAAAACTCAAAAGCTTATTGTACTTTCAAACATCATCCTAAGAATCGTACAATCTCTGTAAAGTCCCAAATTAGAAACATATATAAATTAAAGTAGCACACACGACTACATTTTACTTTTAAAAACAACGTGTATGGTCTTATAGCCTACCTCAGACAGGCTCTCCTCTCTTCTGAGCCTCGGTTTTGTCTTTCCCTCCACAGATGCTTCTTAGAGTAATGTAGACTCCTGCAGGCTCATTGATAAGCATTAAAGTGGTATTTTATGGAGATATGAGCTTAAATCGGTCCGCGGAAGTAGAGTTGAGAAGCAGACTGAAGCCGCCTCTGCTGCTGACTCAGATTTTCTTTTCTTTCCTCCCAGATGTCCTCTGCCCGCTCCCCTGCTGGAGGAAATGAGGAATACTCGGGAGAACAAGGAAATAAAAAACCTTTTGCATCTTTACCGTTTCCTTCCTTAATTTTACGTTTGTTTGCCAGTATCATGTTGTTACTGTTGTTACACGATGTCATATGTTTAAACTTGTCTGCATGTGCTTGCTTTTACAAAAAAGGGGGGGAAATGAAAACCTATTCTAACTTTTTCAGTTTCCTGTCCGTCAATGACACGTGTCGACAGTAGAGGGCGCTCTAACCCTCTTTTTTTTTTTAAACAACACAGGTGTCGCACTGAGACAGATGTGGGAGAAGTACTCAGATCTTGTACTTCAGTAAAAGTAGAAGTACCAGAGACGTTGTCCAGCATTTGCAAAAGAACACAGATATCAGTATGCACTGTATCTTTACCTTGTTCTTTTTGTAAAGGCACTGTGGTAAATGCACTGCAGCACATTCATAATCTGTCTGTCCATTTCTTGGCATTTGGCTGAAATAGAAAATGAAATGTACTAATCGTTAGGTTTTTAATTTGAATGACACTGCCAGCACAAATGAATTATGGCGTGATTAGGATATTAGCATTTAAAGTTCACTGATGCTAGTATTTTCACTTACAAGACATCTAAATAGAAATACACATTTGAGAACATTATCTTCCAAGTATGTCCACTTTAAGTTAAGGACAGAAGAGGAAGAGAAGAAAATAAAGAAATAGATTGATTCTAAAAAAGGTCTAACTGTTTTGCAAGGAAGCTACACACATTGGCAGTCCTCTGCTCTCACTCCACATTACTAGGCTACTGGTGATAAAAATCAACATCAGTCTTGATTGTGCCGCTGCCTGTTAATTGTGTAAGGTTTCTCGTGATGCTCAGTTATCAGACTGTTAATGGCAGGAAGATCCCGATTCAGCCCACTTCTGTCAAACACCAACACATTTATCTGAGAACCATGAGGAGTTAACATTGTCCTGCGTTCCCGTGTGAGCAGGTTGAGTTGTTTTAGTTCAGCATCTCTTCAGCCACACATGGCATCAAAGAGACACAGAATATTTACCGTATGTAAGCCTTCACATTGTTAAAATATGAGGCTTCTGATGCTAAATTATGAGTCAGAATTTGCAACACATAACTAAGGTTCAGCAAAAATAGATCAGCATAAAAACTGGAAACAGGGAAAAGTAGTTCTACTAGTTCAACAGCAACAACATCTGCCTAAAGTAACCTCTAAAGCTCACCAATTAGAATTTTGTATATTTGTTTAATTTGTACAAAAATACAGAGTATAAAACACCAGGTTATGATTTTATGGGAGATGTTTTTTTATAGAGCCAGGATAGCTGAAAGTGAAATTAGTAATATTGCAAGGTTTTGAGAGATGTTACAAGAGTTTATGACAGAATGTGGCTTCAATTGTGTGCAATTCTGTGTTGCATTGAATTTCCAACATTTCTGAACAAGGCTGCATCTTGTTCTTCCAAAAGTTGTTTTGGGGTAGGGGTCTTTGGCAGTGGGGCACAAGAGGTTTAAACTCCCACAAAAAAAAAAAACACTAAATAAGTCCACAGACCTCCCCCAGTCAATCAGTGAGAAACCTTTTGGAGTTGTTGTTATGTGTCCCATTCGGTCTCACAGATCTCCAGCTCTGGGGAAAGAAGTCAGCACGTAGAAGGCGGTAGAAATAAATCAGGATCATAATATTCATCCCCATCATGGAGGCGAGGAAGAATGAACCATTGTCTAGCCAGGTGTAGTTGTGGACGATGTACCAGGTGAGGTAGAACTGGGTGCTCAGACGAAACGTGATGTAGGTGAAGATGTTGATGTATTTGTTGATTTGGTACATGGGAGAGGACTGAGCGTTCGCCAGCTTCAGCAGCAGCCTCAGGTGCAGTGTGACGCTGTTGACCTCCACAAAGAGAGCGATTACAGCGCCGCCTACATACAGCTTAGTGTAGAGGCTGTACATGAAACACGAGATCACCTGAGGAAGAGACACACACTCAGTTTATTTACAGCTTGTCTCTTGTGTTTGATGGCCTCAATGTTTGCCTTGATTTAGATATGCCTTGTAAGCAATGCTCCTGATATAACAGCCTTAACCCCACTGTCACTTGTACCATTCATCAAAATATTATTCAGACCCTCAGAAGTTAACTTTAAATTCTAATCGAGGGGTGCAGTGACGCATCCTAAAACCCGGAAGTAAGCTGCGCATGGGAAAATAGCTCAAAATAAGGTCTGTGGAAAACGAACCTGTTAGATAAATGCACGTTTTGTTCAGCCGGATAATATCCACATGTCTACCCTACTTTTATAATCATAAATCTAATCGATATATTTATGATCGATACATTTATGATTCGAAAATTCCGGGTTTTAGGATGCGTCACTGCACCACTCTATGAAGGAGGGTTGACTTTTGTGAGATTTCTTAAAGAAACATGGATTAAGCATTTACCTTTAATAAAAAAAACACCTTTTAGCTGTAATGCAACATGTTGATTAACAGAAACATGTACATGATCTTCTCACATCGGATTGTTTTTAGCCTTAAAGTTACTTTTCATAATACAGGCGTATGACAATAACAAGTCTGCCAGTTTTACAGTCCCGTACATATTCTGCCATCTCTGAATCTGTTTGTTCAGTGGATACTTGATTAATAATTCAATGGTATTCAGTAAAAATCAATAACAGCATATACAACAAATTGCCTTAATGTACAATGCAGGGCATTTAGCAGGATGATAAAACACAACCCAATCTGCAATAACCAAATGTACATTATGGAGCTTACTTAATTCAAACAAAATAACAATCTTCTTTTCTCCGTCTTTAACATCTCTAATGCAAAACTCACTTCGAGATCATCTAACTGAGATGATCTTACTAACTCTGATCTCTTATCTGAACAAGAAGTGCAACAGTGTTAGAGTTAAAATAGAAAACATGGCATGCAGGCACGTCAACTTACCAGCGAATGATGGATTAAAAATTCCCATGATGCTCTTGTATGTCCTGTCAGGATAATATCACCTGCATCCTGCACAAAGTATCCTGAGAGGAAAGATCAAATGATACCGTCAGGGTCACTGGTATGAGAGGAAGAGGACAGGAGGAAGGTGAGGTTGAGATAAAAAGCACCTTTGAGTTAAGCTTTTTCCTGATATTTATTTCACAGACACTTGGTCAGATTGACATGACATATGACTTGGGTATCATGAACGTATTACATAATTGTTTAGCTTGTTAAATAATACGACATTCACAAGTGTAAATGTAATGTTTTGATGAGGTTGGATAAGATTATGTGAGGTGAGGTAAGATGGACCTGGCACTGTAAACCAGGTGGTGTTTCCACTACCCCATGTAAAACTATAAAAACAACAAGTTATTAAACATAAATAACATATTTTAGAGACAACACATTGATGACATATTTTAGATATTAGGATGCTACAAAATAACAGCTTTGAACTTTTAGGTTTGGTCTTTGGAAAGTAAGAGTTCAAATATTTACTTTTTTTCCCTAATATTTGCATCACCTTGAGACTAATCAAACTAAATGTTTAATTTGTTACTTTTTGCAGAATACTCTATTTAAAGGCGTGTAGTGTGTCACCGAAGATCAACTTTTTAGGATATTTCATTGTAGACATTTTGATGCAAGACTTTTCTTGTGTAAGTTATTGAAACATTTATATTTGTTGTGCTGATCTGACAGTAGAGTTAAATATCCCTTTTCCAAATGTTTTAATGAATAAAGCTTCAATATTTATTTTTGAATTTGACAACTTTATTATTCACAGCATAATCAAACTGTGCAGGCTTCATTGAGCTGGAAAAATTGAAGTAAAGAGTATTTTGTGCCTCTGTATGACTGACACGCTGTGGCTAACAAGACACACAACCAGCCTCTGTATGAGAGAACATGACCTCCAGTTTCTGGTGTGGTGGGCCTCAGTGGAGCTAATAGCTGTCTGCGGTTGTTATGGCAGATCTCTACAGATTTGTGTCTTCATGGTAACACATACTCAACTACATACAATACAGATCAACCAGACCAGCGAGCCCTCAGTGTATTGTCTTTAGTGTCCGTGGTGATTTAGAAGTGACACCTATTCGTCTGTTCAGGGAATCAGGTGAGGGGGGAGGGTCTTTTTGTTGTTTCTCTGAAAAGCAGCAACTGGAAAGGTGGCGGCTTGACACCTCCTCAAAGTATACAAGAAGTGGAGAGAAAATGCCAAATTGTCAATCAGCACGTCTCCTGTTATTACCTCTCAGGCAGTATACAGTACACGATGTATACAGTACTGATTGACAGAAAGAAATTCTGCAGCAATTCTGACAGTTTGATGATCATTTTAGTAATTGTTTAAGCAAAATCAAAGAACACTCACTTATTTTCTTTGCCATACATGATGAAGTATTACACGGTAACAATGATCTTTTTAGAAATTAGCCATAATGATCATTATAAGCCTGATAGAAACAGTAGCATTTCACAATACCATGTTGTATAAAAACATGTTTGCACCACAATAACATGTTAAATGAACTTCTAAATAAAAAAATAACTTCAGCTGAGAGATATTAAAATGATATATTGTATGTGCTGCTGTCTGTACCTCACACAGTCAATTATGTCAGTTCGTTTTAACTGTAGGTAGGCAAATGTACATGGTAAGATAACCTGCCAATTTTCATACCATGTTTGTTTTACTGAGAAACTGTTATGCGTTGACTGACCTGTGGAGACGCAGACGAGCAGGTATGACAGAGAGGTGTAGTAAGAGTGAAGGTTGGTCAACGTCTCGGGCCAAACCATCACACTGAAGAGGGATAAATGTTATGGATAGACGGGTCAGTATTCGCCTTGCTCACACACACATTGGCTCACTCCTGGGTAGCAGAGACATTAATATCAGGTGTCAGGACTTTTTTAATCCCCCAACAATATGCCTCCTTTTAGTAGTTATCTTTAATCATTTATTTTACCAATTAACTCAATCTGTCTGTCTAAAAAACAGCCTTATTTTTACAATTCTATGTCTACTTTTCTCTCTGACTATGCATTCATTTGTCTCACTTTTAACTGCTGTTAGCAAAGGAGGCACACCGCAAAAAGGAAAGATGTATATCTATCCCCTCCCTGTATAAACACACCAGCAAAGAGATTGTGTTTATGACATAGCCCTAATATGGAATATAATGCATGCTGTGTTCTGTTTCACAGGTTTCCTTAGCACTACTGCTACTTTTTAAAGTGGAAACTTACTTAATTAGTTCTGAATTCACTTATTACAAAAATGTAGAAATAAATCATTAGTGTAGAAATACTTAGAATTCTGAGCCTTGATCCTACTTCATAATAAAGTTGAGTCACAATGACGATCCCCACCCAAAAATAGTTTCTCATTTGCTTTCACAGGAATATTTTGTCAAGCAGGTTTTTCCAGTTCATATATCTGCAAGCTGTTGCTTGAGTAGTCCTGACTGTTCGATGCATGTGAGGTTGACCCTGTTTTATACGGATAATTGAGTGCAAGAAAATAAATGCAGGTACAAGCAAATCCCAATAATAGTCCTAGTACAGTGGTATTTCCCACTTAAAGATGCCATTCTCTCCCCCGTCCCTCACCCTGTTTGAACATGCCCTTCTTCTCCTGGCTGCCACAGACTGTCACTGCTGCACACACACAGCCCCACACATCATGTGGACTGTGAATAGACAATGGTGTCCCAGTGTGGAGAGATAGATGGATGGATAGTTAGAGGAATATGTTTGGGTGGAAACTTACCAAGTCACGGCCCATGTCCCTGTCAGCAGGGAGTGCACCATTGAGACGGATAGGTTTCTCCACTTCCAGGTGTGGTCATCCTGCTTCACTACTTTGGGCACAGGCAACCTTTGCAGCAACCGGTGGATCAGCCTGAAAACCAGAGCGAACACCA